GGATAAACTCTTTTTACAGTTCCACTATATGTATCTCTCCCACGATCAGAAACTAGTTTTAGAAAAGCTGACGAAGTCTCGTTAAAACGGAGTTAAAAAATTTTAATCTGATTTTCGAAAGGGTTGATTTTGACGAACTCACAGCAGAGATTTTCTTCAGGTGTCGAAGTCCTCGTGGATCCTAGCCGCTACCGACGAACAATGGCCGCGGTTAGGACTGGCACTTCACTCATCGCCGACTAACCTTGCACTAAAGCTCTGTCTACCTCGCTCTGGCAACGACGATAACAAAACTTGCGGACGCGTAGTAGTCGCGTAGCTTTTAGAGGCCCTGCGCTGGATGCAGGGCAGATATAGAGCGTGGAGCAGCATGCGTGTCACCGTGCAATTCTTTGCCACTTTAGAGTCGGGTCATTAACGATGCCCTCCACGGTCCTTCTTGCCGTTCACGTACGCACACCTCTCTTCCTTCTTATCCTCCTCATACGCAACGTCTGCTTATACGCCTGTGTCTATCACCTGTTTTACGATTGGAGGTGAACTGAAATTTTCGACAGGAATTTTTCATGACGGAAATCTAGCGTTTGGATTGGAAATAGGAAGCGAACGTTTGGAACGAATTTCATGTAGTCATGGGAGGAGTTTCCCAGTAAGAAACTGCGAGAAACAATTTAGAAGTTCGTAAAGGAAATGGAAGATTGAGTAGTTTACCTGCGTATTGGTAGAGAGGCTGCGGGGGAGGCAAGGAAATAAAATTGAAAAATTGTGTATTGGGGAGGTCGGATATGATTGTTAAATGAGACTCATTTTTAACAATTTCTCTGACGTCTTGCGTTTCTCATAATTTTGTCTACTGATTCTGACTGTAACGGTACGATGCATTGATATATTTGCAGTCTAATTTACAAGACGTTTGTATTAAGAATGGCCGAAATGTTTATTGAAAATAAATAAAAATGTTTATAAAAGATTTTGAATTTTCTGATAGCGAACGCGCCTCGTTCCGATAAAGAGGCTGCGGAACGGTAGCAGGCCTAGTGGCCCCAATACTAGAAGAGGCCTCCATTGTGCGAAACCCACGAAGATGGAGGTAACGTAATGAAACTAACTGGCTTGCTCTGACCAATTAACCAACCCAGCGGCAACGGCATAACATTTAACTATACGTACTATGTATACCTTCTCTCGCAGCCTTCCCCTGTTCACGTGGCACGCCGCGGCCGTTTACGCCGTCGAATAGTGTTACATGGAAACGAGGGAACATCGCGTGACCATCTCGCCCACGCACGCCGTTCTCTCCACACAAATCCAAAATAGATCCACTTTTTGGAAACACGACGTTTACTCAAAAATTTTTATTGTGAATATCTTATTGGGAATACTTGAGTTAAATGAAGTTCGATAAATATACTAAGTCCAATTTTTAATTTTAAGAATACTGTTTTTTTAAATTATTATAATATAAACTTTAATTGCAAGAAACAAATATTTCATATATTAAAAATTTAATTGTAAATAAAATATATTTTATATGTTAAAACTTTAATTACAAGAATAAAATATTTCATATATTAAATGTGTTTAATAAACATTAAAAAATAATGCAGTTTCAACAAGTTATATATTGCGTTACAACTGCAAAGGGAAACGCAATAAGATTTAGAATAGGAATGTAGCTTTTGATTCGGGTATTCCACCTGTTAGCTCGCGTCTGACCATAGACGGGCTCGTTCTACTGCGACCGAGCGTTTCTAGCGCACGCAAACTCCTTCGCTCTTCAAAGTAATTCCAGGAGGTAAATTCTGATTCAACATACACGTTCTGTCTCTCGCGACCGAAACAAATAGTTTCAAGAATCCTACAGATAACCCTTCTTAAAGGTATTTCAATGTGGTACTAAAATATTTTAGGTCAGTACATCACATGAAAATCTTCATATATATAGAATATATTTATATTTATTATATCTACTTATTTTTAATATTTTCTTAACTTAATGCCTTCTTAAGGTTGTATAAGCTTAAGACCTCTGCCAAAAGTTTAAGACATATAAAAAGCTGTGTCCAACATTTAAAGCAATGAACGTTTAGGAGAAATGATAATTACAGAGAAGTAAGGTTTATAAAATTATTACACCTATTTTTCTCGGTCATAAAGAATTTTTATTTGTTTCCGTTTATATGTATAACAGTAAGATACAATGTTACAAGCGTAAAGTACGTCCCTGCAAGGGTGGGTAAGCAGGGACACCCTTCGACAACGTAGGGTAGCCAGATCCAATCGTGGGGACTTTAGAGAATTCCCTTCCCATAGAGAAATAGAAAGACCGGACTTCTACTGATTTCACGGTGCGTTCTCGTGAGTCTGGCAGCGATAAGACCGGTTCATCCGTCTCGTACGCAACGATTCCCCGGAGATGCCCGCGATAATCGTTTATCCCGACTCCCTCCCGACTTTGGCTCTCTTTATTTTCCCGGGTTTTAACGAAGCACCGAGCGAACCCGTTTAAAGGTATCGAAACCTTCGGCTTTTATACTTCCAAATGAATACCTTTCGGGGTCGCGGCTCGAATAAAAAGAAATTATCGATTACCTGGCCGAATGGCTGGCTGCTGATTTTCTCGCGTTTCTCGCGAACTTCGCCGTTCGGCTAAATTCGAATGTCTGCCGACCCTTTTCACGAGTTTCCCTGTTTAATCTCTCTCGAGTCGCGAGAGTGGAAAAAGAAAATTGGGGGCGCGAATTCGTCGAGAGGCGATAATTACGCGGCATATCTCGAGCGGAGGACGCGATATTATCCGCATCCGAGTTGGCACCGTTACGACCCTGGATTTCTGCCAGAGTAAATATCGACCTTACCGAGTTCGCGGATTCTTTTCACTCGATTCCATCCGCGGTTGACCCCGCGTTTACGTTCGCCTCAGGATTTCGAATGCGTATTTATGTCGCTTCGTTTTCATTATTACCAAGTCCGGAATGAGACAGTCGTCAGGTGATCCAATCTATCCTTACGATTAGTATATCTCGAGTAAAGAGTGTGGACGGGCTAGTAACAGGCAGTATAATTTGTCAGAGAGTGTCAGGTTCCAAGAGCCACAGGATAGTAAATAATCGTTAACAGCTGGGGTCAGGTATACTCAGGTGTTCGCTACAATACGGAGGTCGCAGGCGAACCGAGGACTCAAGACCTTGGGACATGCAGGGGTAAGAATTAGCCAGGAAGGGTAGGTCCCTGGGATTTACTAGGTAATAAGGTTATTAGGACTCGCAGGTAGTCGCAGATGATACACGATACACCTTGAGCGATTAAGGAATATTCTGGTCTCAAAGCCAGTTTGGATAGTCATGATACAAAAATAAACGCGATTTCTTTAAAGCACAAGTACATTCTGAACAGAAATAATCTACAGTTTATTAAAATTAGATTAAGATCGGAAGTATTTTTCGTCGTCGACTAGTTCGATCCGAGGTTCTTCGATTTGGACTCGAATATTCCTTCCTACGAGGAACAGACGAGGGGACGCGGATGGAAAGGCGTGAAAGAGAGGAAGGGAAAGTTTCCCAATTCAATTAAGCTCGAGTGTAACGCAATAATCGAACGCGACGCGAAATTTCATTTTACACGATAATTTCGTTTCGCCGCAAAGTTTCCGGGGAACAAGCGAACCGGTTTTACGGCTCCAACGTTCTTGTACACTTTTAACGCGCAATGAAAGAAAAGGGATAGAGTATGAAAGTAATAGGAATGCGAGTGGCAGACGTCTCAGCTGAAACATTCTTTTTCTCAAATTAGCAGATATCTTAAAAGCTCTGCATATCTCGTGCCAACAATTATAAATATGTATTAGCCATGTGCTTAAGAATCCATCACAGACTCATAAGTATTTGATGCGAAACGGTAAAATATTTCTGTTAGGGATAGGAACTCCTAACTGAAGTCCGAAGAAAAAAGCGGGTAGAGAACAATTTCTAAGGGTGAGTGAAGGGTTGAGTCGGAAGCCGAGCGTATTAGAACTTCCTTGTAATTCATGGTCAGCAAGAGTAGACGTTCTCGTTAAAAAGTTAGTGGCTGGTCACGTTTCGGCGAAGGAAGTCGGTGGACGTAGGGGTGTGGTAATTGCTGGTCGTTTGGTTGTCTCCTGCCCAGGTTAAAAGGAGTTCGGTGCGTTTAACGGTCAATTGAGCNAAGAATGGCCGAAATGTTTATTGAAAATAAATAAAAATGTTTATAAAAGATTTTGAATTTTCTGATAGCGAACGCGCCTCGTTCCGATAAAGAGGCTGCGGAACGGTAGCAGGCCTAGTGGCCCCAATACTAGAAGAGGCCTCCATTGTGCGAAACCCACGAAGATGGAGGTAACGTAATGAAACTAACTGGCTTGCTCTGACCAATTAACCAACCCAGCGGCAACGGCATAACATTTAACTATACGTACTATGTATACCTTCTCTCGCAGCCTTCCCCTGTTCACGTGGCACGCCGCGGCCGTTTACGCCGTCGAATAGTGTTACATGGAAACGAGGGAACATCGCGTGACCATCTCGCCCACGCACGCCGTTCTCTCCACACAAATCCAAAATACATCAATTTTTTGGAAACACGACGTTTACTCAAAAATTTTTATTGTGAATATCTTATTGGGAATACTTGAGTTAAATGAAGTTCGATAAATATACTANTTTTACAGTGCTTTATTAATGTAATATCTAATAACTGTTAAAATTTCAATACTTTGTCATTGTTTTTATGTAAATATTCATACAAACTTAATTTAACCATGAAGAATTCCTATCTGGAACGCGAATAGTTCGGTTATTCGCACAAAAGTAGATTCTTCCAGGACGTGGTTGAAGAGGGAAACAATTTTCGATCTGGAAGCGGTTGTCCACTAAGGGTAGGTGGTGTTGGAGGTGGCAGTGGTGGTGGTGGTGGTGGTGGCATAAATATTCCGAGGTTGCGCATCGTGTTCGACGTAACTGGAACTGGAGGGCCGTGAACCAGGGGAGGAATGAGTGACTGAGAGAGAAAGAGAGAAAGAGAGAGAGAGAGAGAGAGAGAGAGAGAGAGAGCTAGTGGCAGCGGAGGAACACGAACGCCAGGAGGGAACCCCGGATTCGTTTCGCTTCGCGTCGTGAGCTCAGTGCGAGCCGCGCTCCGCACACGAGGTGTTCGTCCATTTTCGGATAAGAAAGGGTGCTACCAAGAGGATCGAACGCAAACATTGGCGGTGAGTTCGAATCGATCGACCAATCTCGTTGTACTGCTGATTCCTAATTCCGTTCCGACCTCGTGAATTGCATGTCGTAAAAATTGATTGCAGACTTTACGTGCTTGTGGAAAATTCGTAAATATTGAACGTATGAAATCTTAAGAGCATGTGACAGTTGTCTTTTGCTTTCTTTCTTTCTTTCATATTGCATTTGAAGTTTGATTGAAACTTGTTGCATTGAGGACGAGTGAGTGGCAAGAGTTCGGGTATTTAACGTTATTGGCTGCTTCACTTGTTCAATTGTACTTCTCCTAATTTTATATTTAAAAATTACTACCTTTATTCGCGTCTTTTATAGTGTGAAATGTATTATGTAACGAATAGCCGCGATAATTAATCTTTGAATCATTCATGAATGTGGCACACGCGAACGGAGGAGGGGATTGATTTCGTTCAAACATTATTCAGGTATGAAAAATGACGGGAGCCGGTCGATGGCATCGATCTGTCGCGTAATCAATCATCAGCCGGAAAAAAGAATTTCTGTTTGCCCTCTAACATATCACGAATTCGTTTTCCCTTCTAATATTCATCGTTACAAGGGATGAAGAAGGAGCGAGAGCGAGAGAGAAAGAGAGAGAGAAACGGCGAGTCGAAATAGGTCGGCGCGAGTCAGAGGCATATTTTTTATTCATGTAGGTGCCCACTTGAAAGCTGCCTATAAGTACCGGTCTGATACAAACCGCTCGCTTTTCGGTTCTCCTTCCTCTTTACTTCCCACGCGTTCTACCTTTCTACATTTTTTTTCATACCACCTTCTTCTCTTTGGCCTGGTTATTTTTCACACGACGCGGGCCATGATGAATTTCTACCATACGAAATTAATGATACCAATACTGAATAATGGAAAATCAATTAATCTATCAATTTCTATTTATTCTTAGCTAAGCATGACTTCGCTATCATCTATCTATCTA